GTTGTGAAGGCTTTGCTGAGAAGGTCATTGACTGTAGCATGTATTATATCCCATACTGCGTGTTAAGAAACGCGTGTGCGGCGTATATGGAAAGAAAAGAAGTTTCGAACGCCGGGCACATCGTCTGCTGGGGTGTACAGCTTTGTGAACGCGGCTCGTGCCACGGCCGGGAGAGACCGAGTGACCGTGCTCGTGCACAGCAGGAAACCTCGCCTTTGACTGCACGGCGTCTGCACTGTGGCATCCAACATATTTTGTGATTCTTCTAGCTCAGCAAGCAAACAATAGATTAAATTATTGCTACTACGACTCGCAGTAACTGTCCGACTTCACAATAACCGTAGTAGAAATTGCCAGCGACAAAGTATAAAACACCAGCGAGCCGCCAAAGTGAGGCAGACTGAACGATGGCATGGGCCCGGTGGCTGCGTGGACATCCCCCAAACGACAGTCACGACGGATGCCGCATGGCGACGCCACCAGCTGTGAAAGTTGCGAATAGTGCGAGAACAAAATGACGACACAGAGACAAGAAGGACACGAGCGCTACCTTCCAACTGAGTTTATTGCGCAGAAAGCGAATATATATAGAGGAGACAGTAACCATGTGACAAAAACCATATGGCACAAAGAGCAAAACATGAGTAAGAGAAAAACAAAAAGAAAAGCACAGAAAAAGGCAAAGAAAAAGTCTATAAGGAAAGGAAACAGAAAAGTAAAGATATATAACTACTTGCACGCACCGCAACCTTCGAGGAACCTTATTTCCTTCTTGGACAGAGACTAATGCAGGACACCTGTTCGCGTGCCATCTGCGTGGCTTCGACAATGACTCGGGTGCGCTCATCTTTGTGCATGTACAGCGTCGCTGTGTCCTTGAAAGGGGGCACACAGTAGCACTCAGTGCAGTGCTGAGCAAGAAAACCATCTTTCGCGTTTTTAACATTGTTAGCGTGTTCTCTCAGTCGATCCTTCAAACATCTTCCGGTCGTTCCGACATAAAAACCACCGCATGAAAGGGGGGTCCTATAGACAACTTCCCGGGAGCATGCCACATACCTGTTCCTATGTTGAACTCTGCATTCCGTTGATGACTGCATGCGTTTTCAGCGTGTTTGTAGATTTGGTGAGGCTGATTAATTTGAACGGTGCCGAGAACAGAACACGAACTCCAACTTGTTTACCAATTTTCTTGAGTCGTGTGATATCTGGGGTTTGTATGGAATCACGGGTACCCTTTCGCGCTCTGTATCCGTGTCACTCAGATTCTGTCGCTGCCTCTGCTCAGCCTTATTAGTCCACAGGAAAGTCTCAGCAACGGAAGCGATAAACGACTTGGGGGAACCCGAAGCCATTAAGCCGGGAAACCCGAAGCCATTAAACTTGAGCTTTGAAGCTCGCAGAGGTATTGTGGGCGCACGACCTATTTAAGGCATTCTCAAGACAGGTTCGTGCTATTCCTCACTTAACTAACTTGCTGTGAGCGGAAGAAAAAGGAAGTAGAGGTTTCTGCGCACGTGGTTCATAACACAAACAGATGTGCTGGGAGCTAAAAAACAGTTTTAAATCCAAAAAGCGTAACTTGTCATTCTCGGGCATTTCATGTGTCAACACAATTAAGAGGCTATGAACAATCTTCGAACACACCTATCGTTTGAGTCGCAAACGAGCGGAACATAGATGAATTCTAATTTAGAAGAACCAAGAAATCATCCACGTATCTGAATACTTTGACGACATGCGAGCCTTCTAACTTTTCCTGCAGTTTTTTGTCCCATTTTTGCTAATAGAAGATCACTGAGTAGAGGTGCTATGCATGAGCCGGATTGAAACATCCTTTTTCTGCAGATAAATGCAACCATTCCATTGAACGAAAGTAGAGGTAAGGTACAGCAAAACCAGGTCAAGAAAATCTGACGCATTGATGCCAGTTCTTAATTGGAAGTTCAATTCCCCGAAAACTTCAATGTTATCCCTTACACATTCTAATACCTCATCGTGAGGCAGAGAGTAGTATAGGTCCTTTATGTCAATTGAAAAACCTAAAATATTAGATTGATTTGACTGTTTGAAAAATTCTATCAGAGCCTGTGAGTTTTTGATCAAAAATGGGTCATCAATCTTTATACACTTTAGATGGGCTGAATAAACAAGCCGGCTTGCTCTTGCCACGTACCACTTTCTGTCACAATGACACGGAAGAACATGTCAACCTTATATGTGTTTTGGCAGAAAAAATCATGCTGAGCTAACTGTTTTAACTCTAGTTTACGACATATTTCCTTGGACTGCATTTTTACTCTATCTAGACGAATGTCGGTGCAACATTTGAAAACTGAGTCGATAGCTGTGACCGCCATTTCTAGGTACAAGCACTTAAAAAGAACGGCGAAACCACCCTCCTTATCTGACGGCACGACACAAAGTTCATTGTCTCTAAGAAACTTGGTCGTCTTCTGCACCGGAAAGTTGTTGCTGGTAGGCTTACCCCTACCAGCAACAACCTGGCCGCGCTTCACCAGAGGATTCGGACAGGTGCATCTCAGAAGGCGTCGACGTGCTCCTACGGGGTGAGCCTACAAGCAACAACCTTCCGGTGTGGAAGACGACAAAGTTTCTTAGAGACAATGAACATTGTGTCGTGCCGTCAGATAAGGAGGGTGGTTTCACCGTTCTTCCTAAGTGCTTGTACCTAGAAAAGGCGGTCACAGCTATCGACTCTGTTTTCAAATGTTGGACCGACATTCGTCTAGATACATTAAAAACACAGACCAAGGAATTGTGTCGTAAACTAGAGTTAAAACAGTTAGCACAGCATATTCGCAAAAGTGACCAAAATGGGCTCAGCATGATTTTTTCTGCCAAAACACGTAAGATTGACATGCCCTTCCGTGTTATTGTGACAGAAAGTAATACGTGGCAAGAGCAACTCGGCTTGTTTATTCAGACCAATCTAAAGTGTCTACAGATTGATGACCCATTTTTGATCAAAAACTCACAGGCTCTGATAGAATTTTTCAAACAGTCAAATCAATCTAATATTTTAGGTTTTTCAATTGACATAAAGGACCTATACTACTCTCTGCCTCACGATGAGGTATTAGAATGTGTAAGGGATAACATTGAAATTTTCGGGGAATCGAACTCCCAATTAAAAACTGGCATCAATGCGTGAGATTTTCTTGACCTGGTTTTGCTGTACCTTACCTCTACTTTCGTTCAATGAAATGGTTGCATTTATCTGCAGAAAAAGGCTGTTTCAATCGGCTCATGCATAGCACCTCTACTCAGTGATCTTCTATTGGCAAAAATGGGCACAAAAACTGCAGGAAAAAGTTAGAAGGCTCGCATGTCGTCAAAGTATTCAGATACGTGGATGATTTCTTGGTTCTTCTAAATTGGAATTCATCTATGTTCCACTCGTTTGCGACTCAAACGATAGGTGTGTTCGAAGATTGTTTATGGCCTCTTAATTGTGTTGGCACATGAAATGCCCGAGAATGACAAGTTACGCTTTTTGGATTTAAGACTGGTTTTTTAGCTCCCAGCACATCTGTTTGTGTTATGAACCACGTGCGCAGAAACCTCTACTTCCTTTTTCTTCCGCTCACAGCAAGTTAGGCGAGGCATAGCACGAACCTGTCTTGAGAATGCCTTAAATAGGGTGAGCCCCGCCGCGGTGGTCTAGTGGCTAAGGTACTCGGCTGCTAACCCGCAGGGCGCGGGTTCGAATCCCGGCTGCGGCGGCTGCATTTCCGATGCAGGCGGAAATGTTGTAGGCCCGTGTGCTCAGATTTGGGTGCACGTTAAAGAACACCAGGTGGTCTAAATTTCCGGAGTCCTCCACTACGGCGTCTCTCATAATCATATAGTGGTTTTGGGACGTTAAACCCCACATATCAATCAATCAAATAGGGCGTGCGCCCACAATATCTCTGCGAGCTTTAAAGCTCAAGTTTCCCTGCTTAAGGCTTCGGGTTTCCCCGAGGCGTTTATCGCTTCCGTTGCTGAGACTATCCTGCGGATTAATAAGGCAGAGCAGAGGCAGCGACAGAATCCGAGCAACGCGGATCCAGAACGTGAAAGGATAGCCGTGATTCCATACGAACACCAGATATCACACAGGCTCAAGAAAATCGAAAAACGTGTTGGTGTTCGTGTCCTGTTCTCGGCACTGTTCAACTTAATCAGGGTCACCAAATCTACAAACACCCTGAAAACGCAGTCATCAACGGAATGCAGAGTTCAACATAGAAACAGGTATGCGGCATGCTTCCGGGAAGTTGTCTATAGGACCCCCCCTTTCATGCTGTGCTTGTTATGTCGGAACGACCGGAAGGTGGCTGAATGATCGGCTGAGAGAACACGCTAACAATGTTAGGGAAAGATGGTTTTCTTGCTCAGCACTGCACTGAGTGCAATTGTGTGCCCCTTTTCAAGGACACAGTGACGCTGTACAAGCACAAAGATGAGCGCACCCGAGTCATTGTCGAGGCCGCGCAGATGGCATGCGAACAGGTGCCTTGTATTAGCAAGCCCTCCGTGTCTCTGTCCGAGAAGGAACTAAGGTTCCTCGAAGGTTTCGGTGCGCGCAAGTAGTTATATTATCTTTACCTTTCTGTTTCGTTTTCTTATAGACTTTTTCTTTGCCTTTTTCTGTGCTTTTGTGTTTCTCTTACTCATGTTTTGCTCTTTGTGCCATATGATTTGTGTCACATGGTTACTGTCTCCTCTATATATATTCGCTTTCTGCGCAATAAACTCAGTTGGAAGTTAGCGGTCGTGTCCTTCTGGTCTCTGTGTTCGTCGTTTTGTTCTCGCGCAATAACTATCGTCATGCCATACCAACTAGCCCAAGCTGCCACACTTCTAAGTTACTCGCTGGTTTTACTGCGGAGCGCGGCGAATGGGACGGCTTGAGTGAACCACGCCACGCGCTTGCAATCTCGAAGGCCATGAGAATGGTAAGTTAGTTCACAACGCCACCGCTACCCTTATTTTTGTTGCACAGCCAAAGGTGTGTGTGGTGTTGAGTGGTTTACATGTGCGGAGACCGCTAACGCCAACTCCGCTGTGCCGGATGGGGCTGTCGATTGTGGACCAGCTGTTGGCCGTCTCAAATGACCAAGCTGAACTCTTTCTCAAAGAATTTAATGCAAAGGTGAGCCAGCGTAGAGTTGTGTATTCATTGTGTTTTGTAGGCTCATCGAGCAGTGCGGCGAGCATTTTCATGGTGCGGCAAGTTGTCGCCTCGGCAGGCCCGCTGATTTGTTTTCGCACGCTGTCATGCGCTTGTAGTGCTTCGCAAAAAGTGTGTCCATATCGATGCATGTATGGGTGTATGTACGAAAGCATCGACAACGTGACGGACTCATCCGCCGACACCTTCCCCTCCCACTTTATTACTTTCTATTGCCAACGGCGCTTCAAAACGACCGCAGCGAGAATGCAATGGCCTGTCGGGACATGCCCACGCACATAGGCGTACCAATCAGCCTAGGGGGGTGTGGGTCAAGGGGGGCGTTAGCCTCCCCACCAAGGAAAGGTAAGAAGGTTGAGCCCCCCCCCCCCCCCCCGCACTTCCAACAGTGGTCAATGTTGGCTGCACGATGGGGAAAACAAACAACTAAGGCGATGTTTTCTTTGACCGCAGTACTCGCTCAGTTTTGATGTTACGAGGGGCTCTATATATTACGAGAAAATGTTACACATAATAAAATATTTCCAACAATTCTGCTGTGAAGAGCTTTCTAGTAGACTCTTCGCGCCTTGTGCTGTAGCATTGCAGAGCAGGCTAGCCCTGAACAGGGCTGTATAGGCAACCGACGATGGTTAGGTGGGACAGCGATCGGCCCAGCCGTCAGCGCCACGGTATCGATTCTGCGAAGCGCCGAAGCAGCCAACAAGCCAATCCTACTGTGCATGGCGTGAGTTTATCGGGCTGTTTGAGGCATGTCGGTGGTTTTTCATTCCGGTTTTAAGGGGATTAAAAACATCGCTGCCCATTTTCAACCACCGACGCTTGAAAAGGGGCGCACACTGTACGACAACGACCATTTGTCTAGTCTTAAAGAAGTGAACACCACATCGCAGCGAAGTGGTTGTCGCAGCAAAGCAAGCATGCTTACGACGTCGAATTCCACTTAAGTACACAAATACGACCTTATACGTTTCTTGATCAGCTGTCACTTGTAGTTTTACTTCTCGAAAACCTCGAAAGCTGTTGAGCAGGAGCTGTCAACCGCCTTTTGTATACTGGAGCAAATACTGTCGGAAGGTAACCATGATGATTCTCAATGGTGCTGTTTTGCCGTTGTCGAAATGCCTCGAGCATATTCTGGTATTCTCGTTAGGCTTCCAAGATGAAAGGTCATCGGCGCTGAAACATTGAATTGATAACAGTCAGCTGACACTCAATAATGCGAAAATAAAACGTGTGCAAGTGTGCGTGAGCGAAACACGAATATTCGAATATACGACGAGTGATGAAGCAGTCAGCTGACAATAACGGAAAAACAAAACATGTGCACGAGTGAAGCGGTAATTTGCAAATAGTGCACATGTTACGCGGTGCACTCCAGCCTTATTTCTGTCGTACTAAGTGCGAGAAAGCCTCGGCTATAATGAGCCCGTTTCAGCAGTCTAGTCATCATCCTGGTGCTCAAAGGAGTGGCAAGGCACGTTGACAAATCAATGCGTGGGAAAATGCGCCGTTCGTCCAAGCTCTTACCACAATAGGTTTTAGGAGTGACAACTACTGTGCGTGTTTTAACACACGCTTGTGAGCAGTTGTAACGTTACTGTACGTTGCAGGAATGCTCCCCGTTATTGTTTTTGCTCTGATGTCGTTTACCAAGAATTCGCTAGGGCGACACTTACTTGACGTGTCGAACAGCGACAATTCACTTCTGCCGCCGAGTTTCTTCCCACGGTCTCGATAGAAAGCAATACATTATGACCCCGACATCCCCTTCTTTGTTGTGGCAATCCTTATAGCAGTGGTATCTGCGTTTGTTCTTTTTTTTCCCTCTTCTGATGACGGAGTTGTCAACAGGCCGCAGTAAATCCATTAAAAAGCGACGCACTCCTATGTTGTTCCACCTGTTCGTAATGTGCACAACGGTAAAATGCTGTGAAGGGCCACCCCGTGGGTTCTAATCACCGCTGCTAGGCGGCGCGACGTGTACAAGCAAACTGCATTGCCGGGTGCCTATAAGGTTACATCACTGGCTCATGCTTTTATTCTGCTGTGCCTGGCTGGCTTATGCAGCTACAGATGGAAATGAGCAAAGTTTTTATGGACTAATAAAAGCACTTGCTGCTTCACGAAAATAATTTTCTTCCCTAGAAAAGCAACAGCATCACCACCGCTCTGTCGAAGCTGCTGTGAGCCTATGAGTATGATGAATTCTTTTTAATATTTAGTTTTTCTGTACTGAAAGAGGGGAAGGAGGGGAAAAAAAATTTGCGCTTCAGTCTTCGATTAACCAAATCAGTGATCAGCTTTGCTTATGGTACCTTGTAACAGTGGCAGCTGCTTTAAAAGTGGCGACAAATAAAACAGTGGAATCGAGGAATGGTAAGCTCAGCTTATCTTTCCCTGAAACTTGATCCCACGAACCAGGGAGGCAGTTAAAGTCCGTGGTTTTTTGAACTAAGTAGACTTAAAGAAGCGCATATGTGCAGTGCTGCTTATTCGTCTCATTCTCGGCAAGAATGAACTAATTGTATTTATGCAGTGAGTTGTGAAGTGAGGCATAAAAAATCGGCGCCATATCCACAAAGTGATGTGATGTAAGAGGCACTTGTTCGGAGATGATCGCGCAACCCACGAATCCTCCGTGTACATCTCCCACCATCATATATAGACGTGACAATGATAGTATATATTCCAGCACTGTCCGTTTGCATGTTTCTGTACATACCTCATACTTTGTAGTAGAAAACTCTGTCTTGCTTGCGATTTTTGCATAAAGTCATAACATAACCGTATCGCACAAGTGCCTATGTTTATTAATAGTTACACGATATATGCAATATCTATGACGATAATAGTTAGGCACGTTTTGGGGGCCCCCACCGTACTCATCTATTTAAAAAGTGCGTTTTCCTTCGCATCTACCCTGTATTCTCTGATGAAGGCAGGTTCTCCTGCGGAAACTTTGGAAGAAACATTTTCGCACACACACACACAAATATATATATTATGAGATCTAACAGACAATGATGCACAGGAAAGTATAGGGGAAGTTAATAGACCAAATTGTAATGTAAGTTATATATGAATATATTCTGCAGTTTCTATTTTCAATTGCATATAGTTGATGAGATGATTGATTTGTGGGGTTTAACGTCCCAAAACCACCATATGATTATGAGAGACGCCGTAGTGGAGGGCTCCGGAAATTTCGACCACCTGGGGTTCTTTAACGTGCACTCAAATCTGAGCACACGGGCCTACAACATTTCCGCCTCCATCGGAAATGCAGCCGCCCCAGCTGGGAATCGAACCCGCGACCTGCGGGTCAGCAGCCGAGTACCTTAGCCACTAGACCACCGCGGCGGGGCAGTTGATGAAAGCATCGTCATTTAGTTGTATCTGTATTTCATTTTCTAATCTTCTATTCTCCCATTTTCACACTGTTGTTGCCAATCAAATACTTATGTTTACATTTCATAGGAGATCCCATTTCGGTGTATACTACGGGATCTCCTTCTGTATATTATTTTTTGTACATATTAATATGAAATAATAAAATGATTTGAAATTTCAAATTTTGAAAATGGGAAGAAAGTGAAGTGGGTAAAAAGATATCTTGCCGTGGACAGGTTATTGTGGCAGGGACGTGACGCCACGTAGGCTCATAAAGAGTGTGCCACTCTTGCCTCCATGGCTACTGAGGGCGCTGACTGACACTACCTTGTTCAAATTTACATATACACCCAGTAAAGTAGCTGGGAGGATAGCCGCTGTGGTAACGCAGCGGTAGAGTATCGAACGTGTTATTATAAGGTCGCAGATTCGGTTCCTGCCCACGGCAAATTATCTTTTCACCCACTTTTCTTTCTTCACATTTACACTACAATTCGGTCTAATAACTTCCCCTGCACATTCCTTGGCATTGTCTGTTAGATCTCATTAATATTGTGTCAAAACACGGAAAAACGAGCCCTTCAGTATACACTTCTTTCCCTTTATATATATATATATATATATATATATATATATACATACATACACATATACATACATAAACATATATATACCGGGAACGAATTAGATAAGCTTGCCCCCCCACTCGTCAAGTAGTTGGTACGCCACTGCCCACGCGCTGAGGTGGGCTTGTCTCGTCAGAGCGGTGATTTTCTCTAGAATATGCTACATGTTAGGCGTGCGGGTTGCTTTCATTTTATTCGTCGACGTTTCTTCTTGCCGTAGAACTAGAACAGCAATCGTTTCAAGTGTTGGCATCGCAACTCATTTTTATCATTTCATTTTTGAAAGTGAAAAAAATTACCAAAAAAGTTAAGTGTTTAGAAATCTAGTTTGTTAATTAGCTTAGTATCAATAGTTGGTAAATTCTGATGGAAAACCAGTCTGCTGGTTTTTTCAATTTATTTGCTAATGGGGGCAAATGTCAGGAAAAAATAATCTGCTTCGTGATATTGAGAGTTGCAAGTAGAAAAACAAATATATTTCATATTTTGTTCAAAATTATGTACTGAACCATTTAGTTAGCAACTTGAACTGGCTCGTTGCTACTTTTTACTGTTTTCTTTGGTGGCAGTCCAGAGGGTTTTCATTCCAAAGAACACCATTCATTGTGTTGTCTACGAGTGCCACGGTTCCTCCATGGTTTGTAGAAGCTCCACATCAATCAAAGTGTAGCCGTTATCATCGCAGATAACATTTTGTCCTTCTGGCGGGGTGCGATGTGGACAAAGCTTATTTGCCGAATTTTCTGCACGAGTTCTTCCAGTCCCACTTCTGTCTGTAGCTGAAGCGTGTTGGTTTTAAATATACTGAATTGTCTAAAGTGTTTTGTTGATTCAACAACATGAGAATATCTTTTTGTCATCACAACAAAATCTACAAAGGTGCAACTAAACTAAAATACATGCACAGAACCACGTCTCGTGGGCACAAGGCAAGTGCAGTCC